AAGGCCCTTCTTCACTAGCAGGTAGAAAGAAGAGGATTGACTTGTGGATGTGTCTCTGGAGATTCTAAAACATACATAGGGGAGGGGAATCCTCCACTTCCTGATAATCTGACAGGCCAAGACTCAGCCACACTGTATTTTAGGGTGTTAATGTGAATAATTTTGTGCTCATTTATACTTTCAGTTTGATGAAAACTTCAATGTAGCAGTCATATAAAACACAATCCCTGAATCAGTGCCAGAACACTGGCCTCTTAACTCTGCTTTGGTGTTGATGTCTCAGTGCTCTTTTTATGAGTGCTTCTCCCATATGAGTAGCTGTCTCCTGAGCAACCAGTAGGCTTCTTCATGTGAACAGTCAATCTGAAGCCCGGATCATACATCCTTCTTTAAGGGGTCTCAGAAATCTGGGACAGATTTGTCATTCAAAAATATCAATTGAGCAAGATCATCTATTATACATTTACCTTTCTCCTGTTTTGTGTCATACATTTAACTTTTTTGAAAGAAGGGTGAGGGAGAAAGTGGAAAGGGGCAGAAAAGGAGAAAGTGGAAAGAGAAAAGGAGAAAGGAAGGAAATTTAACCCATTTTACAGAAGACATATATATAGAAAAGCCCAACAATGGAAACACTCCAATCCAACCTTAAGGTGACTGACCCTGAATTTGAAGCATAGATGTAGGCAGCAAAAGTCCCTTCTGTAACAAATGACTGTTTTGCAGGGTATGAGTCAGTGATGAGCACTGTAAAATTAACCAGAGCCAATGAAATAATAACCATGATGATAGATTCTGGGGATTACTCCCCAAGAAAAGATATGCATTTTCTGTAATATTGATGTCCTAAAGAGCCAATGTGTCTTAGGGCAAATACACATAGTAACACCAAATCTGAATCATTAATAGGTTTTTTGTAAACCTAATGCTGCAAACAAGCTATGGGCTTGCCGAAACTCAGCTTTAGGTGTGCTAGGTGTCAGGGGACACAAAATCCTGTCCTTAAGCTAAGTTGGCAAGTAACTGCCATCCAAGGCAATGCATGTCATAGTTGTGTGTATGCAGTTCTGCTGAGGGATCCAGGATCTCTTCACGGAGGAATGAGTGTTTGAGCTTATTCTTGACAAATGAGGATCTTCAGGTGAAGCTGAACACAAGAAGCTACATATAAAAGGCAATGCAGGTATCAAAATGCCTGGTTGTCGGAAACTGCCTACTACAGCTCAAGCTTCAGAGAACTTTACTAGAACACGGGACTAAGCAGAAACATGTGCTCTAAACCCTAGTGCATCAGGCTCTCAGAAAAGTTGCTTATAATGACAGTCCATCTCCTTTTACCTCTAAATAGCTGTTTTCTTATTCTCATAAACCTGAAGCCTCCTGTATAGCCTTCCTTACTTACAACCCCCTTAAGTTCTCTTACTACTCATTCTTTATTGGTTGAGTGGTTTGAGTTACAATCAACAAACAGATGTTAATTTAAATTTATTACGGTTGATCCAAATATTAAAATGGGTTGGTCTCTGGGGCTTTGCTATGATTACTGCAGCTCAACCCTGGGACATCTATCTTTTTGAATACTGCTGAGCAACTTTTATAATTCACATACTTCTTTATATAAATTTATATCACTATGGATGAATCAATTCTGTGATCTCCAGTGCTGGAGATGCTACTGAGACTTAGCTAATTAACAATACTGTTACTGAGCTGAGTTGCCTGTCCCATGTCAGGTTCTCACAGGTAGAGGTACAGCTCTCCAAAGCACTAAGATCAGCTGTGGGCCAAGGTGGGGCAGTATCAGAAGGGGCAGCTTGGCAAGGCTCACCATTTAAAAAGACTGTGATTACCACTTTTGTACACTGTTGTAAAGCAAGATAATGTTGAAATATTCCACTACACATCTTGTCTGAGAGTTTTATCTGGTTAGATTACTTGAATACCTGACTGGAAAAAATAAGCCATATTCCATAAGAACTGGGGTTGTATAGGTATCATAGGATACATAAGGCAATGCCCATTCAGCGTGACAGCTTTCAAGGAAGATTTTCTTTGGCCTTGGCAGTGATATTTACTCCAGAGGTTGACAATAGTAACTGCTCTAACATACTCATCTAGAAATCCTAGTAAGCCATAATATTATCCACTAGGTGCCAGACACTCTTCATAATATGACTAATCCTTTTAATGCTACAAAGTAGTTTATATTATTCTCATTCTAGAGATGAGTAAGCAGGCTCAAAGAGGTTTAATGACTGATGAAAGGCCAGGCAAACAAGTGGGAGAGCCACTGTTCTGCCTACCTTCCAAAGTCCTACTTTCCCCACTGTGGCTACATTTCCTAAATCCATCAACAGTAAGCCTGCGTCAAAGATATCACGAGATTCAAGTCTACTTAAGATTGTTCTTCCACTATCTCTGCAAAAGTCAGAAAGGTGATAATGCTTCCAGGAGACTAAATAAAAGCAAGAGGGAGCAAGTACTACAAACATTTTCAAAGTATCACAAAATATATGATAGAGAAGGTGGGGAGAACAGTACATGATGTCATGATTTAAGAAAAATTTGAGACTGATCTTTAATTTTGCAGAATCTTTTTGTCTCCTGTTACCCTTTATTTTTAAACCAAGGACTCCAAGAACATTCTAGTTGGAAGCCCTCAAAAGAAACAGTATTCTTTTATATACTGCTAATAAAGGTATAAACTGCTTAAAGTTTTCTAGGGGGCAACATGGTAGTAACAAAAGCTTTGAAAAACTGGCATACCTTCTTCACTAGCAATTCCACTTAAAGGATTTATCTTCAGAAAATATGAACACATACGAGATTTGGCAACACAATGTCCTTTAAAGCACTTTATTAATGAAAAGTTGGAAACCTAAAAATTCAACAGTAGTCTAATAAAATGTGGCACATATGATGGAATATCATGCAGCCATTAAGAGATGTAGAAATATACTTGATACAACAAGATAGTCATGGTATTGTTGAGTGAAAAAAAGTTACAAAACAGTATGTACAATATGATCCCATTAAAAAAATCTATAAATGCACAGAAAAGTCTGGAAGGCCATATACTTAAATAACAGTGGTTCTCTCTGGATGATGGAATTATCAGTGATTTTTACCTTTCTCACCGAATCTTTTTTCTTTTTGCCAACATGGCTATGACTTCTATTATAAAAAAGCATTAACAATTCTTTAAAAAGTCTCCTTTGAAGCAGGAATGAGAGCAGAACTTAGCACCCTAAGAGGCACAGGGATGTACATGTTTTCTGATACTGTTTTAATGGTTTGTCAGGGTGTTTTGATGTTAGTCACCAATTAAAAGGCACTATGTTGAGTGAAAATGTGGATGACGGTAGTGCTTACTCTAATTCTTTAGACTAAGCAATCTATTCCTAGAAACCTTCCACAGCAACCAAGTACTGGCATTCTAAGCAATACTTCCCACTATGCATGTCCTTATACCTTCATAACCACTTGTAATATAGCCCAGGTGTTTCCCCTACATGGATAGGGCAATGTTGTTGGTAAGGGTTACAGAAGGCAGAGAGAGTTTTTCAAGTGATGTCAGAGAGTAGGCCTGAAGGTGAAATGCATGTTCTCTTAGTTCTATTGCAGTGGCTCTCAAGCTTTAGAGTGCAATAGTATTACTTAAATGGCTTTTACAACAGATTGCTGGGCTCCACTCTCAGAGTTTGAGTCAGTAGGTCTCTGAAAAGGCTTACAAATTTGCATTTTCTTTTATTCAACAAATATTTACTGAGTTCATACTATGCGCTAGGTCTTGTGCTAAGAGTTGGGAATTTAATAGCCATCAAAAGAATTATAGTCTTTATCTCAGGGAGTCTACATTCTAGAGTGACAGATACTAAACAAATAAATTATAAAAATAACTATGTAATTACAATGACTAGTGCTAGAACACAATAAAGATTAGAAGACTCGGTTTTTGTCTTAAAATATTTAAAAAGCTGTCACATGGAAGACTCATTCCATGGGCCCTTGAAAATAAAAAAAATAAGTACAAATGAAGGTACAAAGTTCTTGAAAGTAGTAACTAGCATTTTAAACAAGTCTCCAGGAGATGCAGATATTGCCAGTCTAGGGTCTCACACTTTGTGAATCACTGCTCTACTGAGTAGACCTTTTTTTTTTTCCTTTTTTTTTGTCTTGCTCTGCTGTCCAGGCTGGAGTGCAGCGGTGCAATCTTGGCTTATGCAGCCTCTGCCTCTGGGGCTCAAGTGATTCTCCTGCCTCAGCCTCCTGAGTAGCTGGAGGTGCACACCACCATGCCCAGCTAATTTCTGTATTGTTAGTAGAGACCCCCATGTTGGCCAGGCTGGTCTTGAACTCCTGACCTCAGGTGATCCACCTGCCTCAGCCTCTAAAGTGCTGGGATTACAGGCATGAGCCACTGTGCCCAGCCCTGGGTAGACTTGCTAATTAGCATAATATGGGAGAAAGGGCAGGGGTGGTGGTGGAACTTCCTCTCCAGCTTTTGAGACTCATGTGAGGTAAAAGCCACTTCTTTTCTGGAAATCTCGAAGCAAAGTTGGCTACAGGCTAAACTATGAAGCTATCTCTCCATTATGGCACCTCATTGAAGCTTAAAGTGCTAATATAGTAGGGCAATGTATTTCAAAATTTCAGGTGTCTGGGAGATAGGGAAGGAGTTTTTCTGGAATCTTGTTGGCATGGAGGTAAGTGGGGCCTCTATGGGTAAACAAGTCTGTGGGTTTTTGCCTTGCCATCCATCATCTTCTGCACTCCACAATTTATCCCTGAAATGTTTTCCCAATACTAGCTTCCCAGTCTCACTTGGTTCTTTGTTCAGGGAGAGGATAACAAGAGACTATGAAGCTGGCTGTACCCTACTGGTGATCCTGGCCTCAGCATTTATTTCCCATGTGACGCAGAGTGAGGGGGCACATTCCCATTTTTGGGTTCATTTCTTACAACATGAATTTTTCTGATTAGCACCATAAAAAAGTTTTAACACCGTGACCTTTTAGGTTAGATTACTTTGAGGAAGAAGGCAGACATAATCCAATAACTTTTTTTTTTTCCATTTGTAGAAGAGCCTACAATTATTTTAGTTTTTCATTCATATATGCATCCTTCACATGTGACTATAATTTTAGATTAAGCTCAGTGGCACAGAGCTTATTTAAACAATTTTGAATTGCACCATGAATTAATAGGCTTCCCAAGATTTTTCTTCCACGCCTAAGAAACTTCACAGGCCTTTACCTGAGTAAAAACTAAACTTGACTTTAAAATAAGCCAAAACCAAAATAAAACCCAAACAACTAAACCCCATTAAAATAAAAAGCAATAAACCTAAGAACAAACATACATATTGTGGTGGTTCTGTGGTAGACAAATGTACCAGTAGTCTTTGAAGCTTAACAGTATTGAAGACTTCTGTACATTGCTGGGTTACTAAAATCAACTTTCACTTGATGGAAAGCTGAAAGTTCTAAAAAAGGATTTATACTGACTGTGGCAAGGTTAAGCCCGGACTGGGGTCTGATTTAAAGAGGGTGGAGGAGAGGACTGACAGAGAGTAAACAGAGCCTGGATATAAAAGAGGTATCTCTGGTGCACAGTGATATGCAAGGCCTACAGACTTGGTAGGTCCGGATGCTACAGGGGCTAACAAGGAGAAATGGATATTTACAGGATATTTACTATGTGCAAAGGCTTTCCCTAAAAAGCACCTGAAATACAAGATAGCATTTGCTATTTAATCCTCACAACCACCCTAGGGTATCATAATTATTGTCCTCATTTTACTGGTAAGGAAAAGGCAGTTGTTATACATCTGAGTTGAAGCTTAAAGAGCACAGTATGTGAGGAACACCGGATTTGAACCAGGACCATTTCACTCCATTACTGATACTCTTTCCCCTGTATTACTATATTTCCCATAAACCTAATTTATAGTTGCTGTTTAAGTGGACCTGAAGTTTTGGTATGATCTTTCAAAGCCTACATTTGGACTTATAAAACATAATAGATGGCACTCTAGGCTGTAGAACTTCCTTTCTGAGGGAAGAGAAAGTTTCATTTACTTGGTTTTATAAAAAACTGACCAGCCTCAGCAGCTTTTGAGGGTTTAAGAATATGGCAATTCAGAGTGAATCAACACATCTTGTACAACTATAAAACTGCAGAAAAATTTGTCTCATGGCACAGAAATAAAAGGGTAACAACTACTTTTAAAGTTTAGACTGTGAGTTAAATTGTCAACATGTTTACCAAGCTCTTACTAGGGGCTCTTAACACAAAATTTTAAAATGGTAAATGATGTTTAAGAATTCATTTTTTTAAAGTACCAAAAGTATTATTTTAGTAGCTTAACATTCCCTCAATAAATGAACTACACTTTTGTACTTCATGCTTAAGTTAGAGTAAATTACTTTAGTTGTCAGAATGTGCTATGCTGTCTTAGTTATCCATCTTTTTATCTGGAACAATTCTTCCCCAAACTGTCTCTCACTCCCAAAATTGGAGTTAGGTGACTCCCAAATACAGTACCCTGTATTTTCCCCATCACAACACTGATCCTATTATAGGACAATTGCTTGTTTAATTTTCTGTATCCTTTACTGGTCTTTAAGCTCTTCATGTGCAAGAACTGTGTGCATATTGTTCAGGATAGTATCCCCAGTTGACCAGCACATATCTGGCCTTCAACAAATGTTTGTTGAATGAATGAATGAGAACAGAAGTCTTAACATGGAAACAATCTGCCAATTTGCTGACATATAGCTACGGCCCAAACAGCAATTTTCTGGCTTCCAGTGTGTCACTCATAATTTCATTAGTATGTGTTTCATAACCAGAGAGCCTTATCAAGATAGCCTGTATTCATTAACACATTTTTATGTTTGAATATAAGCTCAGTCACCCAAATTTGTTTGTATACAATTTACTCAATAATGTAGTTGCATTATTCCACACTTTTATACAAATTTGTTGTTCAATAAAAACAAATTCTCTTTACTGTACCACAGTTGTTATTAATGGATCCAATCCCAATTATGCATTAAATTGTGCCAATTGAATAATCTTAAAAACTTTTTGTTAAATTAAGTAAATTTGTCCACCATTTTCTAGAAACTTAACTACAAATTTATCAGAGAACTATGGTATTGCTTTTCAAGAACTAGCTGTTCTTAAATTTAAAAGAAACCATTCCGCAGTATTTAAAAAAAACCATAAAACTCTCAAAATAACCCATCAAAACATAGAAATCATTTGATTTCTGTTGGAAAACCAGGTAAACATGGTATAACTGTATTTTTGTCTATGAAAACATTCAGAAAATTCTACTTTTCACAAAAGAGGTTTATATCCTACAGCTCTTTTTAAAACCGAAAGTTTAAAACAAATTTTAATTTTATTCTTTGGCTATTAATTATACCTAATAAATGAGTCACTGATATTAATTCACAAAAGATTTATTTTACATAAAAGAAAAAGCTTACTGTTAATGAAAAATTCAGTAGAAAACAGTTCTGCTTTAAGTTGAGGCTCAAAAGTAGAAGCTGCTTATTAGTGAAACCTCAATATAAAAGAGAATTTTTAAGAAAACGTTCTTGGCATGAAAGCTCTAACATAAATTCTGTAATGAAATATTTACCATGCAACTTTACTGGCAGAAAGGCCTGTTTCTGGTGGCTGGTATTTTCTTTTCAGTCTCTTAACACATTAACATGGAAGATACTTAACCTGCTTTATTTAGAGTTAATTTTATATAAATACAATGTCATGATGGGTAACCCTTCCATAGTCCACCTATTTAATTGAGCAGTTCTAAGTAGGTAATTGGCACCTTGCCCTTCTGGTTTCCCCTTTCCCCCATTAACCAGTCTGAATCCATTCCAACAACACTGAACACAGTGATCACCTGCAAAATAAAATACTTCCAGTTATTAACTACATTAAAAAATAAACATGTAAAAAACCAATCAGATTTATATTTAATTTGTTTAAATTATTCACCAAAAGGACTTTAAACATTATTACCAATTGTGCTGAAAAATAAAGGATTTATTTATTATTATTATTTTTTTGAGGCAGGGTCTCACTCTGTTGCCCAGGCTGTAGTGCAGTGGCGTGATCATGGCTCACTGCAGCCTTGACCTCTCATGCTCAAACAATCCTCCCACCTTAGCCTCCTGAGTACCTGGGACTACAGGTGCACACCATTATGCTCCGCTATTTTTTTAATATTTTTTGTAGCGATGAGGTCTCGCTATGTTGCCCAGACTGGTCTTGAACCCCTGGCCTCAAGTGATCCTCCTGCCTCGGCCTCCTAAAAGTACTGAGATTACAGGTGTGAGCCACCATGCCTGGCCTAGATAAAGGATTTTATTGGAGGGAGTTTTATACATCTTCAAGTTATTTGGCAGTTAAAAGTTTTAAATATTTCTGTGATATTCTATTACATTAAAGAATAGTAATTACAATTTTATGTAATATAACTATCTGAAATCAATGAAACTATTTCCAAATAACTAATGAGGAATTTGCATTTTGTTATAATATTAGAAGGTATGTCCATTCGTGATATATTCTCCTTCTCATGCCCACAATACTCACCTCATCTGCCAGAAGGGATAATTCAGTACTGTTTGCTGCATCATAATCATAGAGAACCCTGGCCTTCCTGCTGCCACTACACTCCGTAAGGTCACTGAGGTTGGAAGGAGAGGTGATTGCTACGCCACTTGTTGAAGCCATGGCAGAAGAACCAATCGCATTTGGTAAAACTGATGGTACAGGTGTCAGAGAAGTCTGATTGTTGTTACTAAGATAATTGGATGGAAAACTGTTGAAAAGAAAATGGCGAATTATCTATTTCCAAGTGACTAAAGTTCCTAAATACCACCACTCGGTGGCACTGTTTACTTTCTACCAATGTTCACACTGGAAAAGATTTACAGATATTAATAATAGTTTTATCTAACTTCCTTTTCCCTCTTGGGCCAATTATACTAGAGACAATTCAGGTGGTATTCAAATGTAAATCCTTGAAAGTTTGTTTCAAAACTGTCCTTACAATATTAACTTAAAATTAATGACTGTTTTTCTCCCCCCAGGAAAAATAGATGGTTTATTTTTAAAGCACTGCCAAAAAGCTTCCATTAGAATGTTGTCTTAATGAATTGTTAAATAAAAATACTGATGAAAAATTACTTATATATCAGATACTACAAATATGAGGCTTTCTCCATTTAATTCTTTGAAAAATATTTGAATAACTAAACGCTTTTTCCATAAACTGGTCCAATCACATTTTCCTATTCAAATAAAATATTTATTGTCATTTGTATTGTCAATATTATTGATTTGTATCTACACATTCAGCATTTCTATGAGAAGCAGAAGACACAAAATGAAATGATACCATTCCCTTAAGGACATACACACACTGAGAAGATAGACATTCAAATAATATATTATGATTGCTAATTATCTCAATGAAATTGAAGACTCAATGGTAGAATAGGACAAATTTCACAAGTTCATTTGTTCTATTTAAAAAAAAATTTCTATTAGAAATCAGTGATTTTTTTGATTAATGTGCTCATAAATAACTTGAAGATAATTAGAATTTTTGGTTCAAGGCTACTGTTTCCCCAATAATACTAAATAGGAAACAGTACAAAATACTGGTCTGACATAATTCTAATTCAACCATTTCTAAGCTGAAAAATTATCTATGACAATTCGTATTTAAGTTTTAATAAATCCATTAAACTAGAAAAGTCCCCTTTTCATGACCACTATGCCATCTGGAAATCATTCAGTCATCAGCAAAATTCCTTGTAACCTTAACCTCTTCTCTAAACCTTCCCTTCATCCTCCTGTGCTAGTGTTTGTCTCCTATACTCCTCTTTTATCACCGAACCTAGAGGTCAATGGAGTCTTACGTTCTTCATTACCATTTTTAGACTCTTTTCCCTCAACAATTCTACCCAATCCTTCAACTTCATGTTATCTGACTATATACACTACCAGTATCTCTTGTTGCGGTCACCTACGGATGCCTCATTCCCTTATTTTCATCTCTAGAAGATTTTAGTGCCTGGCTCACTGACATTGTATCTTACTTAATTTTTGGTGACTTGAATATCCATATGGACAATTCTTCCAACACTTTAGCCTCTTGGATCCTTGAACTTTTCTAGAGACTTTATACCTGATTCTAGTTCAGCCACCCATTCCTACAGGCACATCTAGATCTTACCAATTCCAGTAACCACAACCCTTCCAATAATAATAGTTTTCACCATCCCATTCTCTAACCATCACCTTTTTCTTTCAAGTACTCTCACATCAACAAGCCTACCAGGGTCTATGATCCTACCAACACCTTCTTCATGTCCATAGTTAATTATTATAATAACCCCTTACATAAGCTCTCATTTCTTATGCCTCTCACTTCACTGTACTGATTTGGTAAAAACCTCTCTATTTAGTATCCCTGCATCTACTGTGACAGGAGAAACACAGAAAAGCTTGCTGTTTTATCTTCAATTTATGACTAGGAACCTCACATGCTACCTGGCAATGATACTACATTTCTCTAGTCCATTAACTTTCACTTTCCATTCCCCGATGACTATTTCATACCCTCTCGCCTATCCTCAAAATTCCAGCAATTCTCCCCATAACCATTACACTCAACTGATGAGTTTGCTTCCTTTTAACTGAGAGGAAAAAGAACAATCAGGAAACTTTTTTTTTTTTTTGGTACAGGATTTCACTCCTTTTGTTCAGGCTGTAGTGCAGTGGTGCAATCTCGGCTCACTGCAACCTCTACCTCCTAGGCTCAAGCAATTTTCTTGCTTCAGCCTCCTGAGTAGCTGGGACTACGAGCATGTACCACCACACCTGGTTAATTTTTGTATATTTTGTAGAGACAGGGTTTTGCGTATTGTCCAGACTGATCTCAAACTCCTAGCTCAAGTGATCCACCACCTTGGCCTCCCAAAGTGCTGGGATTCTAGGCATGAGCCACCACGCTGGGCCAGGAAACTCTTGAATGAGCTGTCGATGCTCCTGATGCAAATTCCTCCACATGTGCACAAAATCTTATCTCTTTTTGCCTCTCATATCATTCTAGCAATTCTTCCCTTTCCCTCCCACATTATCATATTTTCTCCATCTATTGTGTCATTCCCATCAGCTTACAAACATGCCCTTATTTCTCCTAACTTCAAAAAACAAAAAATTGCTAGACCCTACTTTCTCCTCTGGCTACTGCCTCCTCCCTCTGTTCCTCTTCACAATAAAACTCCTAGAAAGATTTACCTAAACTTACAGTCACAATTCCTTTCCTCCCAGGCTCTTACATTACAAACATTACTTTGCTCCTACTGTTTCACCAAAGCTACTTGTCAAGGTCAGCAATGACTTTAATGTTCCTCAATCCAATGGTCAATGCACAGTCTTCCTCTCACTTGACCTACGCAGTGACCATTTTCTCCCACTTTCACACATGTTGTTGGACTTGACTTCCAGGCCACACTCTTGGTTTCCATTTCACCTCACTGCTTCATTCCTTATCATCCTCCTAGCCTTGTTCCTCAACTCTCCATGCTAGAGTACTTCAGGGATCAGTTCTTGATCCTCTTCTTTTCTCTATACTTACTCCTTTGGTGGTTTATCTAGTCTTACAGATTTAAATATACTTGATGGGCTGACAACTCTCTAATTTATCTCTCTACCCTGCCCCCATTCCAAGTCTAGACCTGCATATCCTAAAACTGGATATCTTCACTTAAATGTTAAATAGATATCTCGAACTTAAACATATTTAAGACTGGGCTTCTAATATAACTGACATAATCCCCCCACAACTCCATCCCTGAAACCTTTGTCTCCTCTGGCATTCCCCATTTTAACTAACAACTCCTCTTTCTTTTCTTTTTTTTTTTTTGAGATGGAGCCTCGCTCTGTCGCCAGGTTGAAGTGCAGTGGCGCGATCTCGGCTCACTTGCAACCTCCGCCTCCTGGGTTCAATTAATTCTACTGCCTCAGCCTCTCAAGTCACTGGGACTACAGATGCGCACCACCATGCCCAGCTAATTTTTCTATTTTTAGTAGAGACAAGGTTTCACCATGTTAGCCAGGATGGTCTCAATCTCTTGACCTTGTGATCTACCCACCTTTGTTTCCCAAAAGTGCTGGGTTTACAGGCGTGAGCCATCGCACCGGGCCAAATCCCCATTCTTTCAGTTGTTTAGGTCAAAAACTTGCAATAATTATTGTCATCTTTATGTCCAACATACACATAGTCTGTCAAGTAAATCTTGCTACCTTTAACTGTAAAATACACCCAGGACCTGACCACTTCCATCATATCAACCACAATTACCCTGATCCAAGCAACCACCATCTTCTAACTGAATTACTGACTACATTATTGCAGCAAGTTTGAAAGAGATCTGTCAGCTTCAACTCATGCTAACACCTATCCTCAACGTGGCAGCCAGAATGATTCTGTTAAAGCCTAAAATTATGTCACTCCTCAGCTCAAAATTTCCAAAGGCTCCACATCTCTGAGTGAAGACCAAAGTCTAAACAGTAGCTTTCAAAGCCTTGCATGTTTTGACTCCCCATTTCCTCTATTCATCTCTAGCTAAGCCCTCCTTGCTGTTCCTTGACCATGCCAGCTATGTCACTCCCTCAGGGTTTTTATACTTGCTGCACCCTCTTCCTGGAGCTTCTTCTCTCAGATGCCTGCATGCTTTGCTTTCTTACATCTTTCCCTACTCTCACCAAGGTAGTTCCCTGCTATATTTTTCTGTACACCATTTATCACCTTCTAATATACTATATAATTTACATACATAATGCTTTTCTGCTCCCTTCTGCCCCCATACAGAATGTAGATTCCAAGAAGGCAGGAATTTTGGTTATTTTATTTATATACTATATCCTCCATATCTAGAACAGTGCATTTTAAAAATGAAAACCATATGTTCCTCTGATGGATAAAGGGTTTTAATGATAAAAAGAAACAGTTTTAACTATAGCTTTTTCTCTTTAAAATTCAGACTACTGCTTCTAGTATCCCTTCCTCAGGGAACTCGGCTCCTCAGCAGTGATTAAATACATATATTTCTGAAGATAAGAAAAAGCTCTATTAATAGGAATATGTATATACACATGGCTTTTTTAGTTCTCTAACCATGGTATTTTACTTTCAAATCTACTAGTATGATTTTAGCCTTTTTTTAGCCACTAAAGTCTACCTATGTCAATTGTGCAGAGTTAAAGATTTAAAAAATGAACTGAAAGGCCATTTTCACCTTCTAAAAACTTTTATTGATACATTAAAAAATCATAGCAATTACTCATACTATACAAATGTCAATTAAGCCAATGGAGCTTGATATGTAAAAGCCTTCCAATTATTAAAAAAATGGCTAATCTTGTTACTAATACTTCTGCTTTCTCATCTTTAAAATATGGATAATAAAAGTACCTACCTCATTTAGTGGTGAGGATTATACAGTTAATAATACACATGAGGTGTCTGGAAGAGCATCTGCCTACAACTTAAGCTCAACCAAAGTGATTGCTGTTATTCAGTTACTACTACCTGCTGGTACTGTTATTACAACTATTAACAATATAATCTGGTTCTATTCCTCATAAATAGCTTTTGAATTTATTAGTGTGGATCTGGATGATTTGTGAAGTTCTATATTTGAATATTTCTATGTACTATCTTAAAAAGCATAACCTGCAACAAATTAAAGAGATAAAACTTCCCACAATGCCATTGGTCATTAGCAATAATATAATTGAGGGTAGAGAGACAAGCTACCCTCAATTATATTGAAAGATTTACCTAAATCTTTTCTACAATAGTAGCACTGGTTTTACTTTGTATTGCTGGAGCTTATCTCAAAGTGCAGTAATAATGTAATAACTGGATTTTGTTTAAATGGCCAAGTCCTAAGCATAGTGTGGCTTTAAGCAGAATGCAAGTATAAATGGTAATAAGCAACCCCTATGCTGCACTTCCAGAGTTTCAGGATAAAGTGGAAAAAAGTACTAAGGCTTCTTGCGCTTAAAACAGTTGTACTGATATAAAGATAAAGTGGTGTTCTGCCTTGAGATATTAATACCACTAATAAAACCTCAAACATATAGATATGTAAATGCTCCTGTAAATTCTGTTAGATTAACTAATGATTATTACGCTACAATTCATTTTTGAGGTCCAAAATTGGTTTCACGGATGTGCCTAATTTCGTTCCAGGCCAAGTTTTGAAGTGTTAATATGCAGAAAGAAACACCAAAGTGACTTTTTTATTTACCTTATTCCTTGAAACGATTTTTTGGTATTCAGATGCTACATATCACTTCAGATGCTTTAATGGTTCCTCATTATATACATTCCAAACTCCTTACAACAACTTACTTTTAAGGCCATTCATGGTGTGACTCTGCTTAACTCCTCTAGATTGATCTACCATTCCATTCTTGAACACCATGCTCCAGCCTGAACAGACTACCGTTAGTTCCCTGAACTTGCTCTACTCTCTCTTTCTTCTGGCTTTTTTATATACATATCCTTCCTTGCTTAGAATGTTCATCCCTGTCCCTTTCTTCATCTAGAGTATTCCTACCAAGATAACTTTGCCTGGGAAACTCTGCTAGATATACCTTACTCACAGTTAGATATGTTCACAATGCCAGGCACCTTCTACTTTTCTACTTACCACATAGCCTGTCTACCAATGGCTTACTTTGTATTTCTACTTAGACTAAGTGTTGTGAGAGCAGAGACCACATTTGCCCTATACATTATTTTCAGTGTCACCTTATAATGTGAGCTCCATAAAGGCAAGCATCTTTGCCTGTTTTAATTTGCTGATATTACCCTAAATATATAACACCGTTTGGCACATGGCAGATAGTCAATAAATGAATGAGTGATTGAGCTATGTGTTTTACATATTATCAGTCTGCTTTAAAGTATATTATCATACTCAAAATAATCGCATCAGTGGATATGAGGTCTTACAAAATGATCTAAAACTTTTCTTTTTTTCAATATAGTAAACAAGTGAGTAATGAATAAGTATAAATTAGTTTATTTTTAAGGTTAACTGTAAATGTAATTATATCTTCCTCAACTAATAGCAAAAAGTATTCAGTGGAGGAGAAAAGTTAACCTGAAAAACTTTAACCTTATAGCACTGAGAAGGTATTCACTTTTTTTTTCCATCCCTATTAATATCCCTTTGTGCCAGAAGGGCTCAAAATATTTTGTTACCTCAGAAATCTGATAATTACTTTTCTAAAAAAAGAAACTATTTCTAAGAAAGCTAATAAGAGCCCTTAAGTCCTCTAATTTTCATCCCTACTATTACTTCATATGCAAAAATCTGAATTTCTCCTCTTTACACATGAAAAGCAAATTATCACCTTCCCAGTTGTTTCTGGAGGTCCAACATATACTGGTAACACTGTGCATAGTAAGTCATTTGGGCTTCTACAAAGTCATTCAGACAGCGAAGATGATGGGCCTGTAAAGGAAAGTTAATGGTTCTTAGCTCTATAATCAACTTCAATGGCAAATGCAAGGGGGAGACAGACCACAATATTGTACTGAGGTAGAATCACCAGTATCTAACATCTTACTACAAGGTTTATTAAGATTGACCTTGGTCAATAGTCACTAGCAAACTCTGCTTAGCAAATAAATACCAATATGTGATGAGAGTGGGAGAACTAGGTGATAAGATGTAAACAAAAATTTAAAATATTTCTTTAGATATACTGGAAACTAATACAACTTAAATTTCCTTGATACTTGACTGAAAAGTTGAGTTTTTCCTCCCAAAATTGCCTTAGGACTACCAAAGTCTTGTTCCAAATGAATTTCCAATGAATGAATACTCACATGTGTACTGCTGATTCCCTCTAGCAGAAGTCTGGTAATCTCTGCTTGACGATCAAATTCACTTTGAGTTATTCTTAATTCCTGTTCAGACTTAAATTATAATATACTTTTAGAATCTCTTTAGAAGACTCAGTCCATCTTCTATAAATTTATTTTAGACAGTTAAAAAAATTCCCCAAACAAACCTCAAGTAAAAATATAATAATAACCTCAAGTTATAATTGGAATTCCCCAATTCTGCTTTGTATCTAAAATGGTCCCCGGATTTCTAAACCTTAGCTTTTCTGTATTACTCAACTGGACAACTGATTCCAGTACTTGACTCAAAAGAATTTGTTATACTAAAGTTTAGTGATCCACTCTTAAAAGCCTAGAAAAACTACTATGAGAAAGTCAAGATATTTCCATAAATTTTCTAGTATCAATTTTGCTAAATTTTAATATTTATAAAATTTTAAGATGACCAGTTTTACAAGTATAAAATTCTCAATTATTATTACAGTTTTTACTTTGACGTTAAAGATAGTCTTCAGTCTCAAATGCAAGACTTTAGAGTGAAGCCACAGGATTTTTACCTCATGTTTAGCTGCCAAACACCTGTTGCTATCACCACAGTGTTTAGGTTCATTCAAAGGATTCTTTGTCTTACATTTTAAATGTCTTTTAAGGTTTCTTTTCAAACTATGCATAAAAAATGCCTTATGCAGAAATATAACTTATTGAGATATACTAGGGTTTTAAAAAGTTTTTTAAGTTATGATTGAACTTCAATCAACGGTGTGCTGTTAAATTCTTCTCCAAGAAATAAAAAAAAGCTCTCATATCCAGATTTTCGTGATATAAATACTCCCACCATGGCTGATTTCCAGCTACTAAGGTGAAGTCATAGACTGTGGAGTTGGGAAGAGGTGTAAATAATAGTATGCCACTACTGGCTTCAGCCATCTGATAAAGGAGGCTTATTGCTGCAACAAAACAGTTCACTGAAAAATCAACAAGATCTAAAAAAGGCAAATAGTGGCAAAAACATCTCAAACCTTTATTCAGAGTTGGTTGTTATTAAGTGAGAAAGAGAAATAAAACCTCACAGCTTACTCAGAATAGTTTGCTTATCTTCCATTGAGAATTATCATTGGTAACATCGTCATTATAATGATACGTTTGACTACCTCTCCAGCACAAACAGCTTTTTCCACCTATGCAAATGATTTATGACATTTCCAAGATATAACAAAAGTGAAAAAACAAAAAACAAACAAGGTATGAACTTTTTCCTTTCAGTCCTCATCTTCCTCTCCTCACCCTTTTTGGTGGCAATAGTTAACCTATTGAGCCAGTCCAACAAGGAAGCAGCAGGAAAGTAGATAATCAGTTAACCTAGTGAGCCAGTCCACAAGGAAGTAGCAGCAAAGTAGGTAATCAGTTGTTGTGACATCCCATTGGCAACAAACCTAGCAGAGGACTAAGAATTAACCTCTAGCTTGGACTCATGGAAATAAGCTTAAATTACTTAATAAATCAAAAGTAGAAATTAAATTTACTTGACTAAAACCAGAGCTCATGGTGTTTTGATAGCAGGGCTAAAGTAAGCTTCATCTGGAAGCTAGTAAGAAGTAGAAAAAAGTCCCAGGAGAAAAAAAGAAGCAATGTTTTTCCTAAGGAGAGCATTAAGGAAAACCAATTACGTCAATGTTATATTTGCACTATTTACTGTTCTGCTTGGTTGCATACAAAATGGCTTTGAGTAACATTAGTAAATACAACAAACCAAAAATAAATGCACCTCAGAAGTAAACTAGGCTAGTCCATGTAGGTCTTTGATCGTGAAAGTACAGTTTCATTTAATGGCCAAGAAATGGCAGAAAATCCTACTAATTGACATTATTTCTGGGTAGGGTGTAAGCAAGTAAAATAGGTAGCAGATTAAGGTGACAAGGGAGCTTGAGACTAAAGTGAAAATAATGTTTTCATGCTAAGCACACTGAATAAAAAGTATTAAATGAAGGATGAGGGATCAGTCCTCTAGGTTTGAGTTATATTTAATCATGAAGAAAGGCGCCATGTTACAAAGCTTAGGGCGTCCTTCTGTACAATCTAGACTTTATTTAGAGAAGGTAGATGATAGGGAAAAAGGCATCTCATTTCCTGAACAAGTTTCAGTGCATGTTTGGGTGGCTTCAAACAAAGTCAAATGTCCCAAATCATCTATACTTCTGACATATATAACTGATCATAATAATTGATCTGAGAGGCTAAATTAGGTTCAGCATAATCAATTTACTTTGGAAGAAAATTATCTACATTAGAAAGATAAGATTAAAAAAAAGGCTGATATTCTGTCCTGTAAAAAAATCTCTAGGGAAAAGACCATCTACTGCTAAAAATAACTGCTACTGGACTAACTGATCTAGACTACATGATAGCATAACATGGGTTAGGTAAGCCAGAAGAGTTTTTTTGTTTTAAGGTAACTGCAAGACAGGCAAGAATCTGTTGGCCCATGATATCAGGATTGGGTATCTGTAAGCCATACATGTACCCCAGAATTTAAAGTATAATAAATCAATAAAAAAAATTTGGTAATGCTTCTGAGGCATTTGCTGTGATTATCTTGATCAGTGTTGCTTAATATACATATGGCTTAAAATCTTAAAATACTCCAAGAATACAGTTTTAACATTTATACATTTTTATTTTATTTATTTATGTTGATTTATTTTTTGAGATGGAGTTTTGCTCTTGTTGCCTAGGCTGGGGAGTGCAATAGCTGATCTCAGCTCACTGCAACCTCCACTTCCTGGGTTCAAGCAATTCTCCTGCCTCAGCCTCCCAAGCAAGTAGCTGGGATACCATGCCCAGCTAAGCTTGTATTTTTAGTAGTGATGGGGTTTCACCACGTTGGTCAGGCTGGTCTCGAACTCCTGACCTCAGGTGATCTGCCCACCTCAGCCTCCCAAAGTGGTGGGATTACACGTGTGAGCCATTACATCTGGCCATTTATACATTTTTAATTATAAAAATGTCAGAAGTGAGATGTGAAGAAAAAAAACCCCTCAAATCCATTTTGATATGTTTCTTCAGATTTTTATGTATATGTATATAACATGAACATTTGTTTCATGAGTTTCTTCCCATGTATTATATTAAGTATTTCCTAAAGTTGCAGAGATTACAAAATCAAATCAGAAATTTTCTAGCGTACCTTTACGCCAAGGAGGAAGACATTCTGTTTTTTTTTGTTCAACCTATATTCTCTCCTGTGTTACTCTGCCTTTTTTCATGCTAGAAGTTCAGGGAGAAATCAGAAGCCAGTGTGGAACTGTAACTAAATAGATGAACAGACTCCACAAAAGGGATAAAAGCATAAGGCAAACATTTCATACTGGATATCCAAGTCATAGAGTCAATAGCTCTATAATCTAGCCATAAAACAGACTGTATAATCAATCCTACAAAACCAGAAAATAAAAGTTAAAGTTTATAAAGCTATTAATTGTCAGGGTTCACAATCACCACCTGTCCTCAGTCCCCAGTGTTATCCTCATGTGGAGGTCAGAGTTTGGTGGCCTGAACATAAGAAGTAAATGAAAAATGCTTCTTAAGACTTAAAAAAGCATTTGAAACAAGTCTGCATATAATATAGTTTATAATTTTATTCCTTAAATTCTTGCTTAATTATTTGATTTCCGAGCCCACAGAAGATTAGAAATGGTAACACAGAAGAACTGCTAGCAGCAGTCATATAGACAGCTTCTAGAAGCAATGGTCTGATACTGAGGGAAGAGGCAACACAGTTGTAAAACAACAAATCCAGTCGTTAACAGTATAATAATAAATATTCATAATAATGACCTTAACTGTAGTAAAATCAAATATTTGCTATCCTGTATTTAATGCTTTGGGGACTGAGGTAGGTGGGTGGATCACCTGAGGTCAGGACTTCGAGACCAGCCTGGCCAACATGATGAAACCCCATCTCTGCAAAAAATACAAAAAATTAGCCAGGCATAGTGGTGGGCACCCGTAATCCCAGCTACTTGGGAGGCTGAGGCACAAGAATTACTTGAACCCAGGAGGCGTAGGTTGCAGTGAACCGAGATCGTACCATTGCACTCCAGCCTGGATGACAACAGTGAAACTCCGCCTCAAAAAAAAATTCATTTGTGTGAAATATGATAGATCCAACTATCTGAAGATACAGGACACAGTGTTAACTATATTTTACATTTTAAAAGCTGTTATTTAAAAAACCATTAACAAGCGTTTCACTTGCTTTCTATAGCAAGGTACTGTAAGATTACCACTTAGCATAACAAGTATCTAAGATTTATCGGTGTGTGTGCAAACCACATCTCTGCAGGATCATTCAACTGCTTGGCAGGGCTTCTATTAGCTAAAGAGACTTGAACATATCCATCATTTTCAGATTTTATAAGACACAGTAACACAGACTGTGACTGGACCCATGGCTGTTGCCCAATAAATATTTACTAAATCAAAAACAATTAAATTCTTGTTTCACAGTTTTGTAGTTTAATAATTTACTTACTTTTGTCACTTCCTCTGCCCAAATCTAGCCAGCATTAAAAATTAGAGAAAAATACAGAGCGTGAAAGTTGGAATTTATTTTCTACAACTTAGTATAGAAAAATATAAGTATTTGTTTAAACAGCATACTCTTTTTCAGAATAATTTTAATAGATTAAACACAGTAGTAACTAAACATACTGTGAAAATATGACTTTTATATGTGTCATTACTATCAATTTAAAAATCTTATGCTAAGCCTATAAATTAACAGTTTTTCCAAAATTTAGAATACCTAACCTTTCTTAGCTCCAGTATTCTCATCTGGAAAATCAGAGATTTGGACTAAATGATTTCAAATTTCTCATTTATGTATAAATTCTAAAATTTTAGGAAATGAAGCAAAGCAAGGATTAATGGACACTGAATGCCAATATGGCCTTTTTGGAGGGAAACAGTAAGCTGGACACATAATAAATATAAAATTACCAGTGGTAAATGTATTTTACTGTAAGCAGATTACATTAATTGTAAAAACAAATATTCATGAAACAAAGTCTTGTTAATTGTTTAGAATTATGTTTTTATCTGAGACAAAAAGAAAACCTATGCTGAAATATTTTCGCATTTTCATTTACCTATAGCTAAGACAATGGAAACACATTAATGCTTTCTCTTGCTATCTAAGGTAAGCCCTAATTCAGCCAGGACTTCAATAATTGGTTTTAAAAAAACCAAAAACAAAAATGCATTTTATATATTCTGTACAATAATCTTTCCTATTACTTTCCTGTTTTTAGTTTAATGCTAGTCAATGAAAGCAGCCACTTAATTGCCAATTTATTAGTTGTACCGCAGGTCCCTTGTCAGTTCTAATGAAGTAATATATCTAGAAATATAATAAAACACACTATACCTACACATTTTTATTGGCTAATGTGCACAAATTGTTGGCTATGTTCAGGTTTTACAACTTTCAATTTTACTAAAATAAGAAACTTCTGATAGCTCAAAAATTTTCTCAAACTAAGCTCAACATATACACTGGATACCATAAAACAATTTGCATTCTCTATTCTTTCCCAAGGCTATCACTATTTCAAAACTTTCTTAAGTGAGTTAGCACTGGATGGAGAATGAGCCTGGTCATTATAGGAGTGCCTAACCTACTGGGGTCTGTCTTGGCCTGAAATGGAAGAAGAAATTAATTCTATGTTGAGTTTGGGTGAAAATAAGGTAAATTATGAAGGTACTGAGCAGCAAAGTCAATGTGTTTACCTTACACCTTTCTTTAAGTATATTTTGTTAATTTTCTTTGCCAAAAGTGAAAATATGAAATGCCAGCTTAAATTAGCATCTTTTACTCAGTGCAAAAAGGCACTATATATTTATGTATAAATTCATATTCCAAAATCTGTATTTGGTATAAACAACATATTTGGCAATTAGAACAAACAATTTCTTTTGAAGTTCCAGTATCACTTTGTATATCACTAGTGTACTTTGTGTATCACTAGTATCACTAGTATTTTTTCCTTGTATTTTTGTTGTTAGAGATAATGAATACATGGTTCTAATTATTTTACAATTTTACATGCAGCTAATAGCAAGAGAAGGCACTTTGATTCAAGATGTAGAAAACACAGTAGGCCAACAAACCTTCAGCCATTTTACATGCAGGAAGTTGAGCACGTAAGAGAAATTTACCATAATGTTATCTCCTTCAAGGCGAGCTGAGTTTAGTTGCTTAAGTGTGTAAGTAAGAGACAAAGAACACATTATACCAATGAACACAGTGAAACAAATTACTTCAGCACAATAAAGAACACATTAAACAAGCGAAAGAGCCAATAAAATATTTTTCTACTTAAAAAAACCCCACTATCATTGTTGTTCTATGAAACTTCATATAGTGGTGCCTATTAATTTTTCCCCCAAATTCAAATTTTCAAAACAAAATATATTGATGCTTGACTTTAAATGAGAATCATTTAGGGAAAATGTTTCATTTTTAAAACTGCCAATTACCTAAAATTTTTATTGAATTCTCACTAAAAAAGTCCTTCTGCATACCCCAAATTTTCCTATTCAAAGATCATTTCTGTTTTATGAATTTATGATGCTTTCAGCTACATTCTCTTTTAATCAGCCTCAGCCAGTTCTTGGCATACTCTGAAGAAATATTAAAGGCATGTCAATCCTTGTATTTCTAATAAACTTTAAATTCAAATGTGTACTTAAAGGTTATATGAGGATGCTCTAAATTTATTGAGTTTACAGATTAAAGATTTAGACTACTGTGGAAAGGCTTAAGTTTGCTATATGTTACTTGAAGAAATATTTTCCATCAAATTTGGATATCTCAAAATAACTCTAAACCACTAAATACTGCAGAGCTCTGAAACCAGCTGATTTTATCTTTAACATTACTAAAACTATAAAATATTTTTAAAGTTTACATTAGATTAAAGTTAGAAAATGTAGGTGCCTTGTCATTGAAATCCATTACAGCTGTGTATCCTTTAGGCAAAATGCCTGGAACCAGAAGTGATTCAGATTTCTGGTTTTTGAATATTTGCATTATACCTTTTCAACCCCCAAACAAGAGAACTACAAGACTTCTATCAGCACTGGCTGAGCAACCCTAATGTGAAAAGCTCCAATAAGCATTTCTTTGGAGCGTCATGTAGGCACTCAAAGAACTTCATATTTTAGAGCATTTCAGATTTTGGATTTTTCGATTAGGGAAACTCAACCTGTAGTTATTTTTGTTCTTGCTTCTCTGGTATGTTGTATCATGTATACAATCTTTTTCAAACTGTATTTCTGTTTATTGTGAAACCTTAAAGTAGGATTTCTTTTTTCTGCTTAATTGGTATATTTTTGAGAAATGCCTTTGACATTGCTTTACCATTCTGCAATATGCTAACTGATAAAAAGCAATATTAGATATAAGTAGAATTTTTTTACTGATAGAGCTGAATCATCAAAAAGTTTGATGTGTTATACCAGATTGTGAACTGAGGGCAGCAGAGAATTTTACATCATTTATCTATGAACTACTCAGTAGAGTATCTTGCACAAAATTAGCATTCAATAAATACAGAATTTTTAAAAAGTCACAAGTAAGTAAACTATTCAAAAAGTGCCAATGTGGATAGATCCCAAACTTTACTATCAGAGTAACTAGTTACAAAACAATTCAGCCATGAAAATTTATAAAGAAGTGAAATCAAAGTAAGTCTAAGTTTAGATTAACCACTTCAGTTGCCAACTAGGAACCAGGAAATGTATCAAAGAAGGAAAAAAAAGCAAACCCAAACTCCTAGTGATTTCTATTCTTTTGTACTCTTCAAGTAAATGGAAGAGAAATAAAGAGGGTAAAAAAGGATCACCAAATACAGGCATACCTCCAGACTTTATGTAATAATAAACTAAGAGAACTTTCCCTTCCCAAAGTATTTCAGACTTACTGCTATAAAGTTTGAAGAAAAATGAATTGGTTATCTAGGGGAAAAATACAATTAAAATCAGGAAATAAGACTCTGTCTAGACTAAAACTTTAGTGTTTAGCTATAGTTAAATTTTGCTTTATGTAATATATAAGTTCTAGAAGAGCTGTGTATAAATAAAATTGCTGAGCTGAATAAAATCATTTGTATCATCTTTTACTTTAAACATAAATTCCCACAGAAAAAACCTTTATCCTCAAAACTACACAGCGGAGAAAAACTGCCAAGATCTTTTCTAGATATCTCAAAAGGAAGTAGCTCTCAAAATTGGTCTACTATTATATTTAGGTCCCATATATTTTAAGAGCAGTGGTAAAATAATTTAGAAATATTAAAGGACTTTGTACACTGTTAAATCTATATGTGCTTATGGGTACTTTTCCAGGTAGAAAAGCAGACTATCTGCAATAGTGCTTATTAAACAAAGTTTTGTACTGAAACTTGACAACAGTATTTTTATTCCACAATCATCACTGAGCACATTTAGGCATCTTGAATACAGAGATTCTATCCCTGTTAAATATTTATTTCCACATGATCCTTTTTTTCCTGGTTATGAAGTTACCATCTTTAAAAAACAGTTTATAATTTACTTTTCAAATTCATTATTAGCAACTAGAAACCAAAAAAGAATTCAAGGTCTCCTGCTATCTACAGTGTTCATTTTCAAAGTTCAGATGCTGCAGATAGTCTGTTTAGGGAAGTTTTGTTGTTTGTGATGATGATGTAATGATAAACTGTGAAGTGAAAATGCTAGTGAATTTGGAATTAATGTCTTAACAAAGATAGCTCTTCTCTAGCAGTATCTAATACAGTGTCTCCAAAAAAGAAAAAATACATAGAAAAAAATAACATACTGCTCATACAAGGTATGGGGTAGTTCATAAGACATTACTACCCAATACCAAGTTAATCAGTTTTAAATTTCACTCTAAATTAGTTTTCAACCTTTTAATCCCCCAAACAAGAGAACTATAAGACTTCTACCAGCACAGCAGTAATATGCTCATTAAGGCAATCATTCTTGATGTTGGCAGTGGTAGTGACTTGGAAACAGAAGGCAAGGGTAATATCATGCCATAGGTCAAATTAAGAATTAACTTGTTAGCATCTTCTAACAAATTCATACTTGGTTTATTTTGTACTATTTTAAAGGTATGCCAATTCAAATCTGATTAATGTTTTCAAATTTTGGAATGAAAATATGGACAGTATGACTTTGATTAAAAAGCTTATAAATAAATATTTGAAGAAAAATTTAATTACTATATTTAACAAACACCTACTCAATTTTAAGACTATTCTGGGCTGGGTGTGGTGGCTCGCGCCTGTAATCCCAGCACTTTGGGAGGCCGAGGCGGGTGGATCACGAGGTCAAGAGGTTGAGACCATCCTGGCCAACATGGTGAAACCTCGTCTCTACTAAAAACTAAAAATACAAAAATTAGCTGGGTGTGGTGGCATGTGCCTATAGTCCCAGCTACTCAGGAGGCTGAGGCAGGAGAATTGCTTCAACCTGGGCGGCAGAGGTTGCAGTGAGCCGAGATTGCGCAACTGCACTCCAGCTTGGCACCTGGCGATGGAGCGAGACTCTGCCTCAAAAAAAA